TAAAATTAGAACTAATTTGTTATAAATTAGAACTAACTTGTTATAAAATAGAACTAGCTTGGTATAAATTAGAACTAATGTGGTTTAAATTAGAACTAACTTGTTATAAAATAGAACTAACTTGATATAAATTAGAACTAACTTGGTATAAATTAGAACTAACATGGTATAAAATAGAACTAACTTGGTATAAATTAGAACAAACTTGGTTAAAATTTTAGAACTAACTTGTTATAAAATAGAACTAACTTGGTATAAATGAGATATAACATGGTATAAATTAGGTTTATAACGTGGTTTAAATTAGAACTAACATAAATTAGATATAACGTGGTATAAATTAGATATAACGTGTAATAAAATAGAACTAACAAGCCATCACACGCTACAGACTTGAACTAACACTGTGCAGAATAGAACTAACACTGTGCAGATTAGAACTAACACTCTACAGAATAGAACTAACACTGTGCAGATTAGAACTAACACTCTACAGAATAGAACTAACACTGTGCAGATTAGAACTAACACTCTACAGAATAGAACTAACACTGTGCAGATTAGAACTAACACTCTACAGAATAGAACTAACACTGTGCAGATTAGAACTAACACTCTACAGAATAGAACTAACACTGTGCAGATTAGAACTAACACTCTACAGAATAGAACTAACACTGTGCAGATTAGAACTAACACTCTACAGAATAGAACTAACACTGTGCAGATTAGAACTAACACTCTACAGAATAGAACTAACACTGTGCAGATTAGAACTAACACTCTACAGAATAGAACTAACACTGTGCAGATTAGAACTAACACTGTGCAGATTAGAACTAACACTCTACAGAATAGAACTAACACTGTGCAGATTAGAACTAACACTCTACAGAATAGAACTAACATGTTATAATTTTGAAATAGCTTGTTATAAAATAGAAATAACTTCGTTAAATTAGAACTAACCTTTAATGGCTATATTGTTTGTTCTAATAGCTATTATGTCAGTTCTAATCAATGCACTGTTAGCTCTAATGGTTATATTGTTAGTTCTTTTAGTTCTAATTGATTCTAACAGCAAGCAATTGTCGTTTTTGCTTTTTAGCTTTTGCTATTATCTGTTGATACTTCTATTATTTGTGCAGTTTGAAATCAAAAAGTGTAGACTGTGGCCCGTCGGCGTTGTTGACCACAAGTGTTCCAGATAAGAATCCCAATGACAATCCTTCCGGAGATGATGTCATGACGATTGATGACATGATTAGCAGATCAGAGAGGATTCCTGCTTGGTGGCACACAGCTTTAACCGGTGAGGGACAACGATTTGAAAGTGCGAAGGAGTTAAGATTGGCCTTGCTATACTACTCCATGGCAAAAAAATTCGAATACGAGTTTGGGAAGAATGAACCGAAGCGTATTCGAGTGTTTTGTCGGTTTAAGGCAGCAAAAAATTGTCCGTGGATGTTATTTGCCTCTCCACCGAAAAATGATAATAGACTTGAAATCAAAAGGTTTGTGGACAATCACAGTTGTGGGCAGCATGGCAATAATGCTGGTCAATCTAGAGCCTCAAGGCGATTCATTGCTACCCAATTACAACCCACGTTAAAGGTTCGACCGGATATACGGCCTATTGACGTTCAAAAGGAGTTTCTAAGCTCGTATGGGATTAGGGTCGATTATAGTAAGATTTGGTGGGGTAAAGAAAGAGCACAAGAGAAATTATATGGTGATGCCCATGAGTCCTACGATCAATTACGATGGTAAATAGAAGATGATATATAACAAAATGAGGGGATTAGGGTCGATTATACTAATTTTTCAATGTTGGTACTAACGCTTAATCTTCAATTTTCTAGGTATGTAGAAGAGGTCAAGAAGACAAACCCAGGTAGCTATATTCATGTTGAACAAAATGAGGGGAGGTTTACAAGGTTATTCATATGCTACGCCGCCTGCATAAATGGTTTTTTATACGGCTGTAGACCACTCTTATTTTTGGATGGTACCTTTCTTAAAGATCGATTCAAAGGCATACTCCTAAGCGCCGTAGCATATGATGGAAATCAGGGGATATTTCCATTGGCGTATTGTATATGCGATCAGGAAAATAATGTTAACTGGAAGTGGTTCTTACAAGGTTAGTTCTATCCCTAGCCATGTTAGTTCTGTTGCAGGTTATGATAATTCTAGCTCATTCATTGCTAACTCTAATTCGTGTATGGTAACCACAACTCTTTGTAGGTTTGTGGTCTATTCTCTATGAAAGGCCAGATCCATACAACCCTCCACACAAGCTAGTGATAATTTCAGATGCGGATAAGGGGATCAGAGAAGCAGTTAGAGAATTTTTTTCCAGATTCTATACACTCTCGATGTGTGTTGCATCTAGTGGAGAACTTCAGGACAAAGTTGAAGGATTTGGGATTCAAATCAAAAGATACTCAGATCTTGGGTAATCTATTGCAATCTGCCTGTTACAAATATACTAGAGCAGAATGGAACGATTACATGGACGACATTAGACTGGTTGACGAAAGAGCTTACAATATTGTGATGAACTACGCTCCAGAGAACTGGGCCAATGCGTTTTTCCCTGGAGTTAGGTAAGTTATAAGCTATTTCATTACATGACTATTATAAGCCGCTTGACGAATTCCCTATTATGTTTCAGATATGGTCACGTTACATCAAATGTTGCAGAGTCATTCAACAAATGGATACATGAGGCTAGGCTACTACGGATACTTCAACTGGTAGAGCACATACGTAAACAGATTATGGTTCGTATGAATGAGCGACGAACCATGGCTGAAAGCTGGAATCAATTTCTTTGCCCCAAAGCTGAACTTGCTCTCAAAGAGAACATGGAAAATGGCCGTCCATTGGAGGTTCGTCAGTCCCACACAGGATTATTTGAGGTACAATCCCATAGATCTTGTCAAGTGGATCTAGACAATAAAACATGCACTTGCCGTGGGTGGGATGTAACCCGTGTCCCTTGCAAACATGCATGCGCATCCATTATGTTTATGAAAAGGGATATCTATCAGTTCTGTGACTGGTTTATGACGATTGAAGCCTTTAAAAAGAGCTACGAGCCAATCCTCTACCCTATCCCAAACTTTGAGAAGCGCATCGTGCCAAGGGATGAGATACAGATCCTACCTCCACTTACAACAAAAAGGAAAGGGAGAAATAAAACCAGGCGTATCAACAACAGAACTGTTTACACGCGGCCAGTAAAATGTTCTCGATGTCATATGGAAGGTCATAACCGTAAAACATGTAATGAATCTATAGCTGACTAAGTGTTTGATATGTTGAAGTGTTTTCGTCCCAGTATGCAACAAATATTTTGTTTTTTTCCGATTGAATGTTTACTCTTTGTTAATCGGGAACTAACATCAGCTTACACTAGATAAAAAGTTGTAAGTAACAAAACAACTATCATATTAGGCCTAACACGCTTAAAAGAATAGAACTAACATCTCAGTTATTCGATGCGCTCGAGGGGCTAGGAGTAACAAGCCAAAGAATAGAACTAACTTGGTATCAGATAGTACTAACATGTGCAGAAGCAGAACTGACTTGGATCGGAACAGATTACAGAATAGAACTAACACTCTACAGGATAGCACTAACACTCTACAGACTTGAACTAACACTGTGCAGAATAGAACTAACACTCTACAGAATAGAACTAACACTGTGCAGATTAGAACTAACACTCTACAGAACAGAACTAACACTGTGGAGATTAGAACTAACACTCTACAGAATAGAACTAATGTTCTACAAAATAGAACTAACATTGTGCAGAACAGAACTAACTTGCTATAAATTAGAACTAACTTGGTATAAAATGAGAACAAACTTTGTTTAAATTAGAACTATCTTTGTATAAATTAGATCTAACGTTGTATAAAATAGAACTAACTTGGTATAAATTAGATCTAACGTGGTATAAATTAGGTTTATAACATAGTAAAAAATAGAACTAACTTGGTATAAATTAGAGCTAACGTGGTATAAACTAGGTTTATAACGTGATATAAATTAGGTTTATAACGTGGTATAAAATAAAACTAACTTGATATAAATTAGAAATAACTTGGTATAAAATGAGATATAACATGGTATAAATTAGGTTTATAACTTGGCATAAAATAGAACTAACAAAAATTAGATATAACGTGGTATAAATTAGATATAACGTGTAATAAAATAGAACTAACAAGCCATCACAAGCTACAGAATAGAACTAACACTGTGCAGAACAGAACTAACACTCAACAGATTAGAACTAACACTGTGCAGATTAGAACTAACACTCTACAGAACAGAACTAACACTGTGGAGATTAGAACTAACACTCTACAGAATAGAACTAACGTTCTACAGAATAGAACTAACACTCTACAGAACAGAACTAACTTGCTATAAATTAGAACTAACTTGGTATAAAATGAGAACAAACTTTGTTTAAATTAGAACTATTTTTGTATAAATTAGATCTAACGTTGTATAAAATAGAACTAACTTGGTATAAATTAGATCTAACGTGGTATAAATTAGGTTTATAACATAGTAAAAAATAGAACTAACTTGGTATAAATTAGAGCTAACGTGGTATAAATTAGGTTTATAACGTGGTATAAAATAGAACTAACTTGGTATAAATTAGATCTAACGTGGTATAAATTAGGTTTATAACGTAGTAAAAAATAGAACTAACTTGGTATAAATTAGAGCTAACGTGGTATAAATTAGGTTTATAACGTGGTATAAATTAGGTTTATAACGTGGTATAAAAGAAATAACTTGGTATAAAATGAGATATAACATGGTATAAATTAGGTTTATAACTTGGCATAAAATAGAACTAACATAATAAAATAGAATTAACATAAATTAGATATAACGTGGTATAAATTAGATATAACGTGTAATAAAATAGAACTAACAAGCCATCACAAGCTACAAATTAGAACTAACACTGTGCAGAATAGAACTAACACTCTACAGATTAGAACTAACACTATGCAGATTAGAACTAACACTCTACAGAATAGAACTAACACTGTGCAGATTAGAACTAACACTCTACAGAACAGAAATAACTTGGTATAAATTAGAACTAACTTGGTATAAATTAGAACTAACTTGGTATAAATTAGAACTAACTTGGTATAAATTAGAACTAACTTGGTATAAATTAGAACTAACTTGGTATAAAATGAGAACAAACTTGGTATAAAATAGAACTAACTTTGTATAAATTAGATCTAACATTGTATAAAATAGAACTAACTTGGTATAAATTAGGTTTATAACGTTGTAAAAAATAGAACTATCTTGGTATAAATTAGAGCTAACGTGGTATAAATTAGATATAACGTGGTATAAATTAGGTTTATAACTTGGCATAAAATAGAACTAACATAAATTAGATATAACGTGGTATAAATTAGATATAACGTGTAATAAAATAGAACTAACAAGCCATCACAAGCTACAGATTAGAACTAACACTGTGCAGAATAGAACTAACACTCTACAGATTAGAACTAACAATGTACAGATTAGAACTAACACTCTATAGAACAGAACTAACACTGTGGAGATTAGAACTAATACTCTACAGAATAGAACTAACATTGTGCAGATTAGAACTAACACTCTACAGAATAGAACTAACACTGTGCAAATTAGAACTAACACTCTACAGAATAGATCTAACATGTTATAATATATAACTAAAAGGGTGCAGATTGGA